AGACAGATATATATATATATATATATATATATATATATATGTGTGTATATAAGCGGTACGTATCTGAGAAGAAGGTACGTATCTGAAAAGAAGGCGCATATATAAAAATTATTTTAATTTTTGGGGTTTTGGTTCTTAAAATATATGTCTAAGTCATATCTGAATTTTATTCAAGTAGTTTCTGTATTTCTAAACAAATGTAGCAAAGGTCATGATTTTCGTTTTCCTTTTCCGATAGGCCTAGGCCTATATTTTTTTTTTGCCTGCTGTGTTTTGAGTGCAGTGAAGCATTAAATACTATGAATCAGACGTGATGAGATCACATATTTCCGCATACCTGATAGGAGGCCGGGATTCGGGGAATTCCAATTATTATTCTTTGTACAAATGTGATTACAAAAATTATTTATCTATTATAAATTTCGAGGCAAGGCAATAAAAAATCTGTAAAAACAAAAATTGAAAAGAAAAATTACGATAGTCGTACCTAATGTATTGCCTAAAAACATTCTCATTTAACAATGAAAGGTTTTCGACTGTTTGCAAAAAATGAAAACCCCGCAAAAATAGGTACAAAAAGGATTTTAGAAAAGATACTTAAAATATATTAAAATTATTTATTTTTTTCTTCTCTTTCCACTTTCTCTCCTCTTCTCTTTTATTTTCTTTTTTTCTTATTTTTTTTCAAATTGGAACACTTTAAGAGAAGAATCTGAATGAAGGTTCGATTTCTCCTTGGACATACGAACAAATAAAACTATGAAAATTAATAACAAACTCATCCCTAACGTAAACATGTAGGCTTAATTGATGAGTAAGGTTCATTATGAAAACAATGTAACTTTTTACGGTGATGTCAAGTAATAGCCCCAGGCCAGGGATTAAATTAGGTAAAATCAACATCAACCTATATGTTCGGTAAAACGAGTGGGCGTCAGTAAATGATTTCGACTGAAACTGTCGAAGGAGTCCAATAAATAATTCTATTTAAGGCTTCCCTAAATTTCGCTTTTGATGTCATTAACGGATTATATTTGCATGTGATTAGATTGTCAGAGATAGGGCATCCAGCCTCTCCTGTGCATTATTATCAGCGTACTGGATCTCGAATGAGATACCTGTATAGGCCTAATTATAAAACACATGGGTACTACAAAAAAAGTAAGAGAAATAATGTAATGATAATACTTGA